AGGTGGAAGAGGGCGTGACCAAGGTCCTGGATTGGATCACAAGACTCGAGATGAAAAAGAATGTTGTTCGTTAGTATGCGCACGCGTTCGGTCCGCGAGGAAGGGCGAAGTCAATGTTTTTTTATATCGGTAGTTGTGCAACATGAACAGAAAATGTGCAACAGTCTGAAGACGTAAGCTATAATTAGGTTATTTAAACATTTTATTGGCGCTACGGACTTCTTCTAAGCTGCTTGCAAGGTTTTCCAATGCAACAAAATCGTTCTCCTGATTTTGAGAGCGTAAAAATAAGGAGTTCGCGACGTAAAGTCAGCCCTGGAAATGATTGCAGCAAACTGCCCGGTTGCAAACTGGATGCGCGGGCGTCGCGGTGAGCCTGCTACGGGAGTTCTCCAGGAAGCGAGAGCGAAGCGTGCCTGTAATGGTAAGACGCTAAAATCTTGACAGTCCGACAAACTGGAAGCGGATAAAGGAAACGTGTGGCTCCGATTAACAAAAACCAAACCTATTTTTTGACGTGAATGCTTAAGTGCATTTGGTTATAAGCAACTGCGTATTAACTAACTGCGTATGCAATTTTTATTTTTAACACCAATTATGCACGATTTAGTTTTGAAGTAATTGGTTCATTAAAACTGCAACACTTGACTTGTGCATTATCCAAAACATTTAGTCTATTAGTTCCCACTCGTGTCCGTTGTATTATTGTGCCTGTTCTCTATAACAAAGTGCCACTGCGCTCGTCAGCAGATAATCCTCTTGCAACAAAAGATGTTTAGTAAATAGCGCTGAGTGGGCCGGTGGATCGGGAGGTCCTGGCGGGGATCTCATGTATTAGCGACACTGATTGCTCTTTTTCTTTCTCCGATCGGAGACGATCACTTTACTCTCTGTGGTCTTGTAATATTACCGTTTATGTGCCGATTCAGTGATCGCGTTTGACGATATTAGTAAGAGACGCGTTTTCCGGCCCTTTGGATTAAAAGTTGTTCCCCCCCTCTTTATGCCCCTCTATGAAATGCTATGAAAATGCTCACTTTCGCCAGTTAGGAAGAAAAAACAAGCTCTTGGAAATTCCCAAATGTTACTGCTGTGCAACCGCGTACTCGTTTTTCAAAAAGGTGTAAATTGTATTTTGTCCCATTTGACTAATGGCGCAGGGATGCGAGGATATTCAGATCTTCCATTCATAATGCAACTATTACTTTAAGTTGTTTATTCGTATAGGATATAGATCCTAGTAGTCCGAACGTCCCTCTTTAAGTCAGAATGACTTTGCCCGGGCGACAGGCTTCATTTTTATGTTTTATTGATGAGAATTCGTTCACTTCGCGTTTGAGAGATATATGTCGATGTGGTTTGAACATTTTGAATATTCGGAAATGTTAGTTGACATACATAGTTACAAACAGCTTGACTTGTTTCCATTATTCGAAATGCTAGATATCATTGAAGGAGTGAAAATTAACAAGTAAACGAGACCCAAACTTAAAGGAAAAAAAGTTAACATGAAACCCACACACAGTGGGGTTTTCAGAATGATAATTTGGGGAAACTACCTTTCAGGCTTGTTACACCATTAACCATCTTTACCACTAACTGTTAATAAATCGCATGTTTGTGAGATTGTTTAGCAGCAATATACATTCCCGATTAAGTGCTTTCTCACCAGCACTCACATTTTGGTTCATGCTTTTACTTGTTTCCTTCGAGTAAAAACATTGCAGTGAAGGAAAGCCAGATCCTTTGCAGGTCTGCTCTGGGACTCTGGGCTGATGCAGACTCTGTTTGGTACATTAGACAACAGGTTGCACTCTGGAACTTCAGGTTTTTACACAGATGCAGATTAAATGTTGTTAATACATTTGTTTGCCGATGATTACTAATGTGTTAGGTGGTTCTTACTTTAACTTGTTTTATTGTTTTTCAGGATGCAGTGTAGGGGGATTGGGCCTGAGATATAGGCAGCAGGCATAATTGACAGTGCTCATTTTTACCCATTTGATTGTTTATTTCTGAGGGACTTCTTGAATCAGTGTTTTGTCCAGGAGAAGGCAAAGCCAAGTTCATTCACTTTCCTTCCCAAATGTCTGACACTCTGCCTGGTTCTTTCTTTGCCTCTTGGGCTGTGTCGTGTGACACTGCAGATAGTTAGGGTCCTTGACATATTGTATAAATGGCGTCAGCTTATCTGAAATTCAGAACGTAGACTGTGTTTCATGTGCAGTGAGCTTTGACCCTGTGTCAGTATGGTGACGGAGCTGCATAATACTGAGGACTTTTATAACCTGTGAATCTCAATAAGATAGAAGTTTAAAGTTCTGCAAAAAATAACCATGTAATATTTATGTATCACATAGAAGGCCATTTGTATTGGGGGCTGCATGGACTGCAGAACATATCTGAACGGGGGGGTATAAAGTCATGTCTGCTTGTGTGTTTGCTTTTGAAAAACTTGAAAATCATACAACTCCTTAAAAAATGTGGATGCAAGTCAGGCTTACAGCTTACTGGTTTGCATTGTATTCTTTGTATGTGATTTATTTCTGATTGTTTGTTTGTCACTGCATTCGTAATAACAGATACGAAATTACCCCCCCCCCCCCCCCCCCCCCCCCCC